ATATATATATATATCTTTGTAGCATAAAATGGGCAAATATTTGACTTCTGGTTTAAGAAATAGATTCCTCTAGTAACTGTGTAAAGTAACAATGATGGAAGTGTTAAATTGAATTGAACTAAATAAAATTTAATAATCAAATTGAAATCAGGTTCTTAACTCATCACGGATATTGTACACCTGTCGTGCTACCTCCAGGGTCTACTGATGCCCACTCAATCTTTCAAGGAAAAAAATGATTCATTTCTAATGATTTGAATTTAGCAAATAGTTCTTCAAGCCCTAAGGACAGACTGCCTCAGAGTCTATCTGTGTGAAACAGATCCTGATGTACCAATACGGCAGCTATTCAGTTCATATGAAGCACCCACAGCAGGATTCATGCAGGGAGGTGCCAGGAGGTGCAAAGACAGTAGAAGTATGCTGAGGAACCCTCTAGTATATGAATTAATACAATGGGAGATAATGGAAACGCATAGAAAACCACAAACATAGTTGAAGTCGTAACTCTAGCCAATTTGGCGTAAAGCAGGAAGTAGCTATAAGAAAAATCAAGTCAGAAAGAGATCAAACTGAGTATTAAATAATATTAGAGAAGAGGACACATCTCCCAACCACTAAATACAAAGAGCATTTCCAGATGAGTCTTGGGATGCTGGAAAAGGTTTTAAACAGTGGAAGTAAGTAGGATGTGATAAATAGAAGCAGTAACCCAAGGATGAAAAAATTGGTCATATGTTACACTCTCAATTATGAGATCTAATTTAATTTCCTTGCCCCAGAAAGATGCATGCAGATTCCTAACTCAGTCTTTACTGGTTTAGTCCATGTTCCATTTGGATATTTTCATTGCCTCATAGGTTTCTTTCAAATGTGTTGACTTCAAAAGACTTTTTGCATTTGATTGATCTGAGTTCAAAACCTACTGGTGCATAGACAGATTAGAGGACAGAGACTCCGTTTAGCTCTTCCAGTAGAGGAATGAGGGTTTCTACTTTTAGAAGTTGGAACATTTATATCACTTTATATAATGTTCACATTTACAATTAAATAATGCTTCTGTATTTTTCCAACCCATATACTGTGGGTTTTTATGCCCATGTGCTAATGATGGACAAAAGATATTTTTGAGAGATAGTGTAGGAAAGAGAGTAGAGAATGCCAACGGCCTCCAAGGATACCAAAGGAAGACTTTCACTCTAGCTGCTAAGTACCTCCTACACTTTCCTCATCAAACAGAATACAGACAGGTGCACTAACGACATGCTGTGAATTCCTATCAGAACTTCAACACACCCAAAGTCAAGGGCCCAGATGCCAGCAGCTGCACCAGCAGGCTTTTCCTCCCTGTTGATTGAAATTCACGAGTGAGACAGAATTTGGCTTTCTTACATGGTGTGGTACCTTGAAAGTTGTGTTTTTTTCTCCCTGGTGTGCTAGAGGGAAGAAAAATAGCTAAGCTTTCTAAAATGACAGCTCTCTATTTTTAAGTGAATTGGAAAGGCTGATTAAATTATGTATTTTATTGCCTCTGTGACTATCATATTAAATGAATATTTTACTTTAAAGGCTTGAATAAATGAAAATAAATTTTATAATGTCTGGTCTTGTTGAGTTTTTGTGAATACTGTCAAGATGTTCTCACTGTTCAATTCCAGAGCTATAAATAAGGTGGAGTTTCTGAAATATTCAACTATTCTTTGAAAAGTACCTGAAACTCTTAATTAAATACTCTAGTAATTAGGTCTCCCACTGATACCAATTGAGGTTTTCCAAAAAAAGATATAATACAGGAGAAACATTAATCAAAGGCTCTTAAAAATAGTGTGAAAATGAGAACTGATTTAAAACAATCATAAAAGTGCTTCGTGTGCTCACCAATAAAGCCACTACCTTCTATGAAATGGTGAGACAGATGGATAGATATAGATATATGGATGCACTCATGTACACAGTGAGAGATGTTAATTGGAGAATTCATATGCTAAAATCTCTCCTCCACGACAAATGAAGAAATCCAGGTGTCATCCTCATTTTTTAAATTAATTTTATCGGTACATTTAATGTATACAATGTAATGACATTCATTGTTGGAAATTTGTACCTTTACATAATCAATCTTTGTTCTTATTTTTCCATTCCCCCGCCCTCCCTTCAACCTCTCCCTCCCTCCCAATCTACAAAGACTTTGTTTCCATCATTTTTCATTTTCTCATATTGATTCCATTTCCTTTTCTTTCCCCTACCCCTCCATTTCCTCTTCCTCTTTGCCCTTTTTCTTCTTATTTCACATTATCTATTATATCTTTTAGTCCTTATTTACGCTTTCAGCTTCTCACACTAGAGAAACTATTCAGTATTTTACACGTCTATCCTATTTATATCACTTAAGAGTATCGCCTCAACATGCATCCATTTAGCTGCAAATGTCTGTGATTTCTCATTTGTATGGCTGAGTAGTACTCCATTTTATAAAAAAAATTATCCATTCTCCCACTGATGGACAACTGGGCTGCTTCCAAGTTTTAGCCGGAGACACCATCCTTTTTTCAATCTAAGAGTCAACTAGGAGACTCTCATTCTCTTCCATGGAAGAACAATTTATCTCTCCTCATAATATTCAATCTCCCATTGGCCCTCAATCCTTTATCCATTCAGAAACCATGTAAGTATAGAAAAAAGTCTGTACACTGTAGTATGAGTACCCATGGGTGTCCATTTCTTCAACCTCCATATGTATACTATCCAAAAACTCCCTATCTAAAATGTCCAGTGCTTGAGCTGTCCTGGGTCCTCCTTTCCCACCTCCTGTTTTGTAGCCAGGGTTTTCTCCTTGCCAAAGCAATGCCTTCTTCTCAGCATCCTATTCCTACTATTACACATTGACCCAGAGTGGACAAACTGTAACACCAAACAAACAGTTCACACCATTAAGGGGAGAAAAGCTTCTTATCTTTTCCTGTAGGGTTCTTACATACTATCACTTAATGATTTATAAATGGAAGAGATTAGGCTGGCAGTGTGGTACATGCCTGTAGTTCCAGTTACTTGGGAGGTTCAGGTGGGAGGATCATGAGTTCTAAGTCAGCCTGGGCAACTTAATGAGACCCTATCAAAGAAGGAAGGAGGAAGGGAGGAAGGAAGGAAGGAAGGAAGGAAGGAAGGAAGGAAGGAAGGAAGGAAGGAAGGAAGGAAGAAAAGAAGAAAGAAGGAGTGAGGGAAAAAAGAAAATAGGTCAAAACAAAAGAAATAAATTGAATACTCTGGGCTGTGGGGAATGTTTTGGATATAAAATTACTGTAAAGTGGGGATGAGAAGACATTCTCCATTTACCTAACAGCATTTCCTTAATTCAGACAAACCACTTCCCTTGAAGGGCAATCTTATGAGGACTTTAGAAGGAATGAGAACATCCATCCATTACATAATCAAAGAGAGTATGTGTTTGTTTTTTCCTCCAAGATATACAAAACCATGGCAAATGGCTGAAACTCATCTATCTTAAAAATGGAATTCAGATGCAAGATGACCCAGCATGGGGGCTTACATTAATATATTTGTTACAATAGAAAAATGATGCCAGGGCTGGGGATTTAGCTCAGTGGTTCCGCTGCCTGCCTTGCAAGCACAAGGTCCCTAGTTCAATCGCTGTTACCAAACCAAACAAAACAAAACAAAAAGAAAAATGATGCCAGATTTTTTTTTCTAACAGAAAAATCTGATTTGGCTTAGCTTGACAAGTCCATTGCTTTGTAAATTAATAAATACACAAAGAATTTTTTAATTAATTAAATGAGCTCAATCATAGTTCCAACATTTTAAAATATATTCAAAACATTATTATATAAAAAGTACATTATAAAGTAATT